AATTGAAAGCAAAAGTAATAAAAATAGCAGTGAGTAAAACTTTAATAATAAGAATAATAAAAATAACTGTTACTATTGTGGAAAAGTCGGACATTACAAGGCGCAGTGTCGGTTGAGAAAACAGAAAGCTAGTAAGACTGAGGACAAAACAAAGAATAATGCATTTGTAGTCTCTCGTCATATAAAGTGCTTAAATGAAGGTGGTTAGTAGACTCTGGTTTCAGTGAACACATGTGTCGAGATCACGCATTGTTTACATTATTCTCAAATACTTCGCAAAAATAAGTAATCGTCGGTAATGTCGCGGTAATTAGTATCCTTGGGGGCGGACAGATGGCGGTACAAGTATCGAATGGAACCGAATGGGTGGACACGGTCATAAACAATGTATTGTATGTCCCGGAATAAGAAACGAAACTGTTTTCAGTCAATCGCGCCACAGACAAAGGTTACGTTATGATGACAGATGATCAACTTCAATCCTGATTGGGCTGGTGACCAAAAGGATAGAAAGTCTACTTCAGGTTATTTATTTATTTTTGCTAATTGTTTAATAGTATTGTGTTCAAAGAAACAGTCATCAGTAAATTTGTCTTAAACAGAAGCTGAATATGTCTCAATGAGTATAGCTGCTAGTGAAGCATGTTGGCTTATTAATATGTTACACGAATTTGAATTTAAAAATGTATGTACAGTAAATTTATGGTGTGATAATCAGTCAGCAATATTAAATGCCAGCACTGAGTCTGTAAAACGATTAAAACATAAGGATATTAGATACCACTTTATTAAGGAGTTAATTAAAGAAAATAAGATCTTCATTAAATACATAAGTACTTGTAATCAGCTGGCAGGCATGTTAACAAAACCTATAAGTAAATAATTGATTATAAAGTATTTAAAACAATGTGGTGTGAGTGATGCATAATAGACTAAGATCCATTATTATCATAGCGTGTTACTCTCCATACTAGTTTGCACTGTATTACGAGAGGCGTAGTCTTCCTCAATGGCAACAACAATTATCACGTCACTCAGTGTATAGTGTACCCAAAACGAAAGTCTCATTTTATACTAAATTCCATATATTTTTATGCTACCTATAACAATATATATATATATATAAAAATATACAACATAAATAGTTTATTTGAAATAAACAGCTTATTTTAACTAACGAAAATTTGTCAAAAATAATAAAAAATAAAAAATGAAAATGTATGCGCGTAATAAAATGTATGTATGTGAACGTGCGTGTGTGTGTGTGTGTGTGTGTGTGTGTGTGTGTGTGTGTGTATGTGTGTGTGCGTGTGTGCGTGTGTGTGTGTGCGTGTGTGTGTCTATGTGTTTGTGTCCGTGTATGTGTACGTATGAAACCCATGGTATGTTTGTTTGTATTTTTTACAGATGAAAAAAATTAAAAAGGAGATGAAATACGTTACATAGTTATCTGTAAACATTAGGTAGATAGATATATAGATAACACTGAATTGTCCGCAAAAAAAATAACATAAATATTAATAAAACCTGAAGAATTTGAGTTAGGAATTTGCGGATGGATAATTATTTTGCTAATAATTGTTCAGTAGAGCCTTGTTGGAATGGAATTACAGCGGAGCTTCTGAAAGCGGGTGGAAAACCGGTACTTGAAGTATAACACTTTTTAGGGCGTTACTCACCGGCTACGGTTATCGGATAGTCAAGGGACTTGAGGATCAAAATAAAAGTATCCCAGGGCGCCTGTTGTTGGATGATTAGTAAATGAAAATTCAAAGATACACATACAGACAAAAAGTAGTTTATTTCCTTCTACGGTTCACATGTATAGCTCCAAATATCAAGTTTTCACTTTAAAATACCCTATGAACTGAGGTTTTGACTAACCTGGTGGATTGCACAATATTACACTGTTTATGGTCAATCCCGCGAAGCAGTGAGGCAACAGATATCCTCCAGGTGTACGCCGGTAGCGGTCTCCTGGCCGCCCAGTCCCAATATAGCCACCCGTTGAAGCTTCCTCGCCTCGTTCACATTGTTAAACTTGATAATGGACCATACTCAAAGTACGGACTGAGGATTAAGGACTAAGGACTAAGGACTAAGGACCCCTATGACAAGGCAAAAGAATCTATGAAATACCGTGTATCGTTAATTAGAGCACATGTGCTTTTAAGAAGACAAAAACATTAAGTACTTACAATTTATGGGATGATGTGTTTCAACACATTAAACTGCCCGGAGACATTGTGTTTAAGGGGCCGTACGTAGTCCAAGTAGTCGTCAATTTAAATTCATGTTCCGGCGTTTCGATTCAAAAATTATATATGTGCGTGTCCGATCATTACAACGGCTCGCTCCAAAAGGAACTAGGCCTCCCTTGGGCTACACGCCACCGTCGATCCGTGGTAGGATTTCGAACTAACACAAAAGGTCAATTGCATGCAATTAGCTAGCTCGATTCGTCAATATACGTTTCTAGTTACTTCGGACTAATGACGTTAGATGGCGCTCTGAAGTCTGTTCATCGCATGTAATAACGTAAATATGCTAAAATAATGTACACGAAAATTTTCGTGTTACACATCCCCTTTGCTTGGGTTAAAAAGTTCTCCGTAATGAAGATACTTTTTCCGAAGACATTTCGTGCCACCTGCCGAACAACGACTGAATACCAAAGACAGTGAAGAAGTTGTAATGCGTCTCTAATCCAATCTGGCTAAAAACATTCGCACGGATAGTAAATTCCAAGTCACCCATGCACCAACAACTAACAAGTACCAAGCCATCACTTAATCACTTAATTACGACGTTTAATCTTACACAAGGCTCATTATTACTCTACTTATTACCTAATTTTCATTTTTGTATCTGTATACCTAGTAACATTATATTCCACTAAACAATTTAACCTCAAAATGTAATTACCTACTTGTGTTGTTAACACAAAAAAAAAACACTACCACAAATTTACCTACTTGTGTTGTAAGTTAGAAAATACTACACTAATAGTTATACCTATATTAACCTAATGGCATGCAACTTTATTTACATTTATTCCTACATGTTTTTTACAATAATGAAATACAACTGCCTATGAATAATTACGTTCCCGAATCCTACGCGCGAATAATCTATTACCATTCATGCGGTGCGTGACGTAACATCACGGGACAGAAACGAATACCTACAGTGCACTAAGCCTACACACGCTGTTTACGTTTCGACTCGACTTTTCTCTAAGTAGTCGAAAAACGAACGTGTTCTTATTTATTAAGTTGAGTAGTTAAGTGATTTGGAAATCATATTAAGTATTAAGTTAAGTTAAATATCTATCTCGCATTAAGTTAAGAGAATTAACGTTTAATCATATGAAGTTAAAAGAAACAGCTTAAGTAATGCTACGCACTGGCTGGTATGCATTTTCTTATATAATGTCCAGAGTGCGGACATAAAGAACAAATTCTTATCTAACTCGCGCCGATTTTCACAACATAAGATGACCTACTAGTTATGTATCGCTCGTTCATCAATACAATCACAGCTTATTTATCTCAGAAAGTTCACCTGTGGAAATGAATTTTGAAAATGTTTATTATTCTTACATTCTTTCACTCAATCATACTCATCATTCACATTCTACAAAACTATTAGTCATCTTGTTTAAGGATGTCTTTTATGTGAAAATTACCTAGTGTCTTACCTTCCATGCTGGCTAATGTATACACTAAAGATGATAATTTCGCTGTTATGACACACTTTTGAAATTTTGGTGCTAGTTTAGCCGTAAATCTCTTTGAGGCATTAGATAGGTAATGGGTACGTTTAAATACAATCTGACCTACTTTTAACTCAACATGTCGTTTTCTTAAGTTATAGTACTTTTCATTTCTAGAATGAGCATTTTTAATATGCTTTTGTACCTTTTTAAATATGGTGTCTAATTCCGCAAATTTTTTACTGTATGCTTGTGGTTCACCGAGAGTTACTTGTGATCTTTGAACTGGCTGAGGGCTATCTAAGCTGTGTAACATTCCATCTATTATGAATTCCCGTCCGTGCACAAGAAAATACGGAGTAAACTTAGTGGTATCATTCACGGCTGAATTAAGTGCGCATTGCAACTGTGGGATGTTCTCGTCCCATCGTTTATGCTCGGTACCTACATAACATGATATACCGTTAACTACGTTCCTAATCGCTCTTTCGGCTTGATTTACCTGTGGGTGATAACGCGGGTTATAATAGATATTCGGTACGTTATATTTATGTAACAGTTGCCTAAACTGATTAGACACATATTGTGGGCCATTGTCAATATAGATAGTCTTACATACGCCATGTACTAGGAACACTTTCTCTTCTATGAACTTAGCGACCGCAGCGCCTGTTGCGATCCGTATAGGATGCAACATGACAAACTTGCTAAAATAGTCTGTACATACAATTAAGTGAATATTCCTATTGCGAGAAACCGGAAATGGGCCTAGCAAATCGCAACATATGGCCTCGCAGGGTTTGTTAACCTCCTTCGGGTTTCCCATTAAACCAGGTCTAGCCGTGTTGACGGGTTTGTATTGTTTACATATCTCGCATTTTTTAACATATTCTTTCACATCTCGGTACATGCTGGGCCAGTAATAATTAAGACTAAGACGCTTGTGGGTTTTAAAGACACCCAAATGAGCACTAACTGGTTCAACATGACATTTCTTTAAAATATCTAACCTGTCTTCCTCGGGTACCACTAACTTCCAATTAAACTCATTCGTTAACTCATATTTATTTTTAGAGTACCTAAGCAATCTATGGTCTTTTACCATGAAGTGGGGATATTTGCGAGGGTTGGCCTGACAATCTTCGTATACATGTCTATACCACGCATCACTGGTTGCTGGCGTAGCGATTGCATCAACTTGAATCCTACTTAGTGCGTCTGCAATAACATTTAATTTACCTTTTCTGTGTTCTATTTCGAAATCAAATTGACTCAATCGCATGCTTCACCTGGCTAAGCGACCTGATGGGTTATTTAATTTATAAAACCATAATAACGAGGCGTGGTCGGTTATTATTTTACACTTTGTACCTTCTACATAAGATCTAAATTGCTCTAATGCGTAAATCACGGCCATAAGTTCTCTCTCCGATGTGGAAAAATTAATTTCATTTTTGGCAAGAGACCGACTGCAGTATGCTATGGGATGTTCTACCCCGTCATAAGTCGGGGTTAAGACTCCACCCACAGCCACTGAGGAAGCGTCACAATGGATAGAAAAAGGCAAATCAAAGTTTGGATATTTAAGTATCGGAGCAGACACTAAAGCGGTTTTTAAGTGGTTAAATGACTCATCTGCCTCCGTAGTCCATTCAAAGCGGACATTTTTGCTAGTTAATTTATTCAACGGTTTACTAATTTTCGAAAAATTGTTAATGAACCTCCTGTACCAGCCTGCCATGCCTAGAAACCTTTTAACCTCTTTAGCGGAAGTTGGAGTTGGATAATTCAATATAATATCTACCTTTCCTGGATCAGTTCTAAGTCCATGTTTGTCAACTAAATATCCCAAGTACTTAAGTTCTCTACGGCAAAAGATAGACTTATCTATGTTTATAGTCAAGTTTGCGTCCCTGAGTTTTGCGTAGACCTTATGCAAGAGCTGCACATGTTCTGAGAAAGTGCTGGATATTATGATTATGTCGTCTTGGAAACAGAATACTTTGTTGTTAAATTCGGGACCAAATAGCCTATCCATTAATCTCTGCATTGTGCTTGACGCGGAAACAAGGCCAAACGACATTACATTGAATCTAAATAACCCCCTACGTGGCACTGTGAACGCGGTCTTATCAGCTGATTGCTCGCTATCATAGGGTATTTGCCAATACGCAGAGGAAAGATCTATTGACGTTAGGTATTTCGCGTCGCGGAGCTGGTCCAATATGCTGCTTATATACGGGAGAGGATACGCATCGGGTTTGGAAACTGCATTTAATTTTCTACAATCTAGACAAAGCCTTAGGTCCCCATTTGGCTTCTGAACCATTACTACAGGTGCGTTCCAAGCTGACTGTGAAGGTGACACAACTCCCAAACTAAGCATTCTAACCAATTCTTTTTCAAGTGCTAGTTGCTTAACAGGTGATAATGGATAGTACCTTTGCTTAATAGGTTTGCTATCCCCTGTGTCTATGACGTGATGAATTAAATTGGTACGTCCCAAACCTACTTTAACTGTGTTAATTGTATCAAACTGTTGGACTAACTTATCCATGATTTGTTTTTGTTCTATGGATAAAGACTCGTATTCTTCAAGGCCTTTATTAAGAGAAACCGAATTTATGCTATTACATATTGATGACTCCGACTTTCGGTCAAACTGTACTTCGGATACAAGGTCACTCCCTAAGTCAAACACCTGCCAAAAATCAACACCTAGAATTATAGGTGAAGTTATTTGTGCAACAACATAAAAGTTAATCACTCTGAAATTATTGTTAAATTCAATAGGTAAGGACATATACCCTAAGCAATGCAATCTCGTACCATCAGCAGTTCTCACGTAGTGCTCAGTGTCAAACCAGTTGAGTTGAAATCCGTGTTCTAAAAAGATCAAATGCGCATTATTTCCAAGAATGCTACAAGTAGCACCCGAATCTAATAAGCCAAAAGCTTGTAAGTTCAATATTTTTAATTTTAAGTATGGTCTTATATCCCTAGTATTTTTTTTAAACAGAACTACCTCTTCATTATTGGACGTATAAGACCTATTTTTATTAAAGGTGTTGGATAGTTCCGTGTTAACTAGTTTTTTGAATTGCAATTACTACAATCTGAACGCTTAACACCTTTTAATCCACACTTAAAACACACTAACTTTTTCGAATTGCATTGATTGGTGAAATGAGTGTTTAATCCACACCTAAAGGATGATGTGTTTCAACACATTAAACTGCCGGTAGACATTGTGTTTAAGGGGCCGTACGCCCAAGTAGTCGTCACTTTAAATTCATGTTCCAGCGTTTCGATTCAAAAATTATATATGTGCGTGTCCGATCATTACAACGGCTCGCTCCAAAAAGAACTAGGCCTCCCTTGGGCTACACGCCACCGTCGATCCGTGGTAGGATTTCGAACTGACACGAAAGGTCAATTGCATGCAATTAGCTAGCTCGATTCGTCAATATACGTTTCTAGTTACTTCGGACTAATGACGTTAGATGGCGCTCTGAAGTCTGTTCATCGCATGTAATAACGTAAATATGCTAAAATAATGTACACGAAAATTTTCGTGTTACACATCCCCTTTGCTTGGGTTAAAAAGTTCTCCGTAATGAAGATACTTTTTCCGAAGACATTTCGTGCCACCTGCAGAACAACGACTGAATACCAAAGACAGTGAAGAAGTTGTAATGCGTCTCTAATCCAATCTGGCTAAAAACATTCGCACGGATAGTAAATTCCAAGTCACCCATGCACCAACAACTAACAAGTACCAAGCCATCACTTAATCACTTAATTACGACGTTTAATCTTACACAAGGCTCATTATTACTCTACTTATTACCTAATTTTCATTTCTGTATCTGTATACCTAGTAACATTATATTCCACTAAACAATTTAACCTCAAAATGTAATTACCTACTTGTGTTTTTAACACAAAAAAAAAAACACTACCACAAATTTACCTACTTGTGTTGTAAGTTAGAAAATACTACACTAATAGTTATACCTATATTAACCTAATGGCATGCAACTTTATTTACATTTATTCCTACATGTTTTTTACAATAATGAAATACAACTGCCTATGAATAATTACGTTCCCGAATCCTACGCGCGAATAATCTATTACCATTCATGCGGTGCGTGACGTAACATCACGGGACAGAAACGAATACCTACAGTGCACTAAGCCTACACACGCTGTTTACGTTTCGACTCGACTTTTCTCTAAGTAGTCGAAAAACGAACGTGTTCTTATTTATTATGTTGAGTAGTTAAGTGATTTGGAAATCATATTAAGAATTAAGTTAAGTTAAATATCTATCTCGCATGAAGTTAAGAGAATTAACGTTTGATCATATTAAGTTAAAAGAAACAGCTTAAGTAATGCTACGCACTGGCTGGTATGCATTTTCTTATATAATGTCCAGAGTGCGGACATAAAGAACAAATTCTTATCTAACTCGCGCCGATGTTCACAACATAAGATGACCTACTAGTTATGTATCGCTCGTTCATCAATACAATCACAGCTTATTTATCTCAGAAAGTTCACCGGTGGAAATGAATTTTGAAAATGTTTATTATTCTTACATTCTTTCACTCAATCATACTCATCACTCACATTCTACAAAACTATTAGTCATCTTGTTTAAGGATGTCTTTTATGTGAAAATTACCTAGTGTCTTACCTTCCATGCTGGCTAAGGTATACACTAAAGGTGATAATTTCGCTGTTATGACACATTTTTGAAATTTTGGTGCTAGTTTAGCCGTAAATCTCTTTGAGGCATTAGATAGGTAATGGGTACGTTTATATACAATCTGACCTACTTTTAACTCAACATGTCGTTTTCTTAAGTTATAGTACTTTTCATTTCTAGAATGAGCATTTTTAATATGCTTTTGTACCTTTTTAAATATGGTGTCTAATTCCGCTAATAATGCTACAAGTTGCACCCGAATCTAATAAGCCAAAAGCTTGTAATTTCAATATTTTTAATTTTAAATATGGTCTTATATCCCTAGTATTTTTTTTAAACAGAACTACCTCTTCATTATTGGACGTATAAAACCTATTTTTATTAAAGGTGTTGGATAGTTCCGTGTTAATTGCAATTCAAAAAACTGCAATTACTACAATCTGAACGCTTAACACCTTTTAATCCACACTTAAAACACACTAACTCTTTCGAATTGCATTGATTGGTGAAATGAGTGTTTAATCCACACCTAAAGCATTTCCTATCCAATTGCCTCGAAGAGCCAGCTTCATTCAGCACAGAGACTTGTTTACTGTGAGATCGCGGCGTTTGTTTATTTAAGTCCGCTGTAATTTTAAAGTTATTCAAGTTAGGTTCACTAAATTGTTCCGCACGCGACCGCGCAATTTCTAACTGTTTGCAATAAAGTTTAAGTTTGTCTACAGAGGTTATATCATGTAAAGCTAAATCTTTCATGTACTCTGGTCTAATGTTATGCATCAAGATTTCGAGTTGTTGTCTACTCGACAGCGGCTGAGTGAGTCGCGAGAACATTCCCTGCATAATGGAAAGATAGACTACTATCGTTTCGTGTCTGGCCTGTGTACGCTGCCTTATTTCATTTAATAGTTTATAGTCTAAATCGGGAATATCAAAGTCGTTCCTTAAGAATTTCAAAAATTGTGAATATGAGTGGATATTATCCTTATTACTTCTAAACCAACATAAAGCAGAGTTTTCTAAAAGATCAGAAAAAGCTGAAAGTATGCGAGCTTCAGTAATGTTGCGAGCCTCTTAAAGTTCCTCAAGACGTTCAATAAATACACGAACACACGTGGTTCCGTCAAATTTTAAGTTAAATGTATTTAGGTTCAAGGGTTTATCTTTCACATAGATCACGTTACTTTCCAATTTCTGGTTAGACGGCTGTGCCTGGGTTTCCTTGTACTCACTATCCGTGTCGCTATCCTCACCGTCTATGACACTCAAAATGCGAATCAAACGACTACGAAGATCTGACAAATGCGAACTACTTTCAGAGATACGAGCTAGTCTATCCATCAAATAATTTGCACGACGAGACCGTTTAAGAGTCAAATTGCGATCATCTACTTTACCCGCCTGCAGCTGGGATTCCAGAAGTTCGACCTTTGGGGTGCAGATCTCTAGTTCAGAGGCTATACTGGGTGACTGGAGTGGTTCACACTTTATGCTTCCACGGCGTGCGAGTTTGTACACCTGGCGGATCTGCTTCCTCACTGCATCGGTGGTTACATTTTCATCTGTGGAAATACCAATAATGGCGAGTTCATATCTGATTTCATCTTTATGTAATGAGTCTATATACTTGTGGATCGACATTTTGTTAAAATGTACTGACGGTTACAAGAAAGTCTTAAATCGGTTGATATTAGAAATATCTACTTAAAATAGCACAAATATTTTTATTATGTTAAGTTTTAATTCATTTAAGTACATATAAATCACATTCAAGTTAAACTTTCTTTGTTCTCCAGCTTACTTAAATCTACCTACATCAGAAAAAAAAATGTTAACATTAAATTTCACTAAGTTTTCATATTAAATGGGTTTTTAACAGCTTAAATAGTTACAATTAAAGTTAATTCATCTACTAACATCCAGCAACTTAAGGCCCCACGTTGGGCGCCGCTTTATAACACTTTTTAGGGTGTTACTCACCGGCTACGGTTATCAGAGAGTCAAGGGACTCGAGGATCAAAATAAAAGTATCCCAGGGCGCCTGTTGTTGGATGATTAGTAAATGAAAATTCAAAGATACACATACAGACAAAAAGTAGTTTATTTCCTTCTACGGTTCACATGTTTAAATCCAAATATCAAGTTTTCACTTTAAAATACCCTATGAACTGAGGTTTTGACTAACCTGGTGGATTGCACAATATTACACTGTTTATGGTCAATCCCGCGAAGCAGTGAGGCAACAGATATCCTCCAGGTGTACGCCGGTCGCGGTCTCCTGACAGCCCAGTCCCAATATAGCAACCCGTTGAAGCTGCCTCGCCTCGTTCACATTGTTAAACTTGATAATGGACCATACTCAAAGTACGGACTGAGGATTAAGGACTAAGGACTAAGGACTAAGGACCCCTATGACAAGGCAAAAGAATCTATGAAATACCGTGTACCGTTAATTAGAGCACATGTGCTTTTAAGAAGACAAAAACATTAAGTACTTACAATTTATGGGATGATGTGTTTCAACACATTAAACTGCCCGTAGACATTAAGATAGATAAGATGATTTATTTGTTAGAATATGGTACATTTAAGTTTTTATAGAATAATTGAGATCCTAAATATTCTGCAGTTTCCTGCGTACAAATATTTTCAGACAGATGATGTTAGAATTT